TATCCTTCTACTGTCGAAACTCTTGTCATTTATGGATTTTCTACTTCCATGGATTTATAAACTAAAGCCTTTTGGAGTTTGATGTTTGCTGCCTGGAGCAGCTGTCAGTTCAGGAAGTTGATGGCTGCTCTCCTGCTTGGAGGGCACAGGACACGGCCTCATCTTCCAGCACAGAAAGCTTCTCTGCCCCCTTTCCTTTGGCACATGCTCATCCCAAGGCAGCACGAGGGATGCTGATGTCTGTGCTTGTGTCACCCTTACACAGTTGTTGTTTCTAAGAAATTTTCAGCCTGAACTTTGAGTAATGCCTTTAACAACACGCGCCAGCAACTCCCAAGTGTCCTAATGATCTACAAAGCCTGAATTACCATTTCCATGTGTTTTGGCAGCAGTGGAAAGACATTTTCCAGTTTGCATCGAGTCCCATTCATCTGATTTGTCAGTCCCTGTCAGACTCTTTATAAATCATCGTTTTGGGATGGCAGAGCAGTGTGTGCATGGCTCTCACACCCACCTGCAGTCAGCTCCTCCTACCTGTGTGCTCGTCACCTGGGGCTGCTCCGCTTCCAATCCAGACCTGCTGGGCTCCTTGGATTGTGTCTGCCTGAACCCTGGGCAGGACCCTGCCTGCCAGGGAGCATTTAAACTCACAATAGGTGTCAAATCAGAGCTCCAGCTGTAAATAAAATGTATATACCCTCTGCCACCAGAGAAGGACACAACCTGGATATTCCTTCACATAGAAACAACGGTAGTTACCTTTCTTAGAAAATAATTGAGATTTACAGCTAAAATTATTAAAATTGCCAGGTTCAGTCACTTTGTCATATTGATGATTCTATAATAGTTTAGTAACTCTCTTCCTATTTTATGTCATTCATTTACCTACACTACAATAATCGACCTTTTATTTTTTTAATTTCACATCCCTCCTTTAAGTCAAAATCCATTTAATGGTCATCTGTATCCTCATATCTTTCTTTTATTTCACATTATTCAAATGTCAAATGTGAAATATTATTCAGAATCAAAGTGTACTTTTCCACTGACTTTTTTTTTTTTTTTTACTGGTGAATTTAGACTGAAAGACAAGAGTTTTTGGAAATATCTACATACCTATATATATTTATATAGATATGTAATGTTCTATGACACTAAAAAAAGTATTATTTCTTTTAGTCCATGCTAAGCTGTAACAGCACTACAAGAGTTAATTATTTAGAACAGCAGGCTGCAAAAGGAATAATCCTGTAGGAAATGTGCATTATTTCTTTAGTGATCTCTGCTTCCATGGAAACAATTTCTCAGCACATTTCTAAATCTCGTAAAAATGGGGCACTAGGTCTGTGTAAAACAGCAAGACATTTCCAATTAAACAACCTCAATACTTTTATCTGGGCCATTAAATACTCTGTCCAGCATCAGACATGATTATGGGATGTTGAACCACCAGCTCCTTCCCATGTGCCAGCTCTGTGAGGATAAAGTCCCCCCCATCCCTGACCTCCTCAGGGGTGCACTGCATGTTCCCCTCCCTGTGCCAATGTTGGGGTGCTCAGCAGTGCCACACCACACTTTTGGGGTGCACTGTCCACCTCTGTGGTGTCTCTTCTACACCACACACCCCGTCTCCTGGCTCAGCACTGCACAGCAGAGCCAGCTTCTCCAGCAGAGCCAGAGAGTCAGCCTGGCTCAGGCAGCTGGAACCACCACACTTGGATCACATCTGGGGTAGGAATATAGCAGGTGAAAGGCATCTACGGGCATCTCCAGGATCACTGGGCTTGTCCACGCAAAAAAATCCCTCATCCCACCGGACCATCGTACGCAGTGGTCCATCCTACAGCCAGGACTCTGAGAAACGCGTGTGGAAAACACCAGCCTCCATCCCAGAATCACTGCCACTGAGCACCACTGGATCATTTCCGGAGGAGACTAAAGCAGAGCGTGTGTAAGAACAAGCGAAGGGAACAACTCCACGCCCAGGAACAGCGACTGCCCTGGGATGTCCTCACTGGCCACAAGTTCAGGTGCGCTGCCAAGGACAGCTTTGCTGAGCTCCAAACCTTTCTGACATGAGCAGGAACAAAGCGCCCTCTGGTGGAACCGGACGTCCTTCACTTACTTGGTTATCGCCACCGACTCGGAATAACGCAGTTCCAGACCTGGTGCTCGGGAGTCAAGGAGCCATCACAAACATGGACACTTCTTTCGGGGTATTGCATACTCAGTCTTTATTAGCAGACTCTTGTCTATCATCAGTCAGGAACAGCAGAGAAGCAAGCCAAGGAAAAAAGTACTTAACATCAATGGCAACAGCGTTAACTTTTTGTTTGGTTTTGGGGCTTGTTTATTTTCCTCAACTGAATTGTTCTTGGAAAATTACTTATTTAAAAGAAATAAAACTAGAGGTGTTCCCTCCCCCTTGCACACAAGATCTGTGCCCTGTGAAGCTGCACTGCTGGAAACTGAGAGAGCAAAACATGATTCAGCCAACAAAGGCCCTTCAAAGATATTTGCCAGAAGTGACGTCTTGAGGGGTTGCTTGTTTTGGGGTTTTTTTGTGGTTGCCTGTTTGTTTTTTATTTGTTTCTTCCTATTTTAAACTTGAGTTCCAGTTTTAACTGTATCATTCCACTCACTACTCAACCATTCCTCATCTCCTGAGCAACACCTTGGCAAGGTGTAACACTGGACCTACAGAAAGGAGCAGTGGATTACTCCTCACAGGAGCACCGAAACGAAGCCTGGATGGGGGAAAAGAAGCTTTATCATAAAGAATTTTCATGCCCGATATATGTTTGGTAGCAGAACTGGCATATTAGTAAAACAGATTTTTACCTCCTGGGAAGGCTGCAACTTCCAAACTCTTTATTAACCACTCAGACCAACTAAATGCTGAAAAGCAGGGTAATTATTTCATTAGCATGGCTCCTGCCAACAAAATCATTACTCAGCATCACAACTGTGCTCTTTCCAATTCCCACACAATTCCATGTACAAGACTGGATCCCAATGGTACCAGCATTGTATTTTCTCCACACCACCCTGCTCACAAACACAGAAAATCTGGAGTCTGTGCATGACAAAGGCTCAGTCCTGCACCACATTCTCTTCCCAAAGACAAACCACTTCTAAAGTGTGTGTCACTCAGAACTTCCTTATGTAGCATCTCTGTTAAATCCAATTAATACAACTGTGTTACTTTAATTCATTGTAATCAACACAGAGAGAAGCAGCCAGCACAGTTACCACTGCTGGTAATCCTGATCCATCCTTAAAGGGCTGGGAATACGAGGACAATGAACAGGATCTACTTCATACTGATGTTACACGGAGGTTCAAAATTCTCCTGCCAACCAGCACAAATTAGAGCTGTCCGTGTGTACACTGATCCTGGGGGATTTTCTAGAGAACCTGTGGAAAACTGAACTCAACACCAGGCACTGCACAGCTCCCATGACTGAGCAGGCAGGAATGCCTTCCCACTGAGAGTGTACTTTAGCCAGGAATACAGAAATCCATGCAGTACTGGGAGTGAGGAAGTCCCAGAGATGGTAGTTTAAGGTAAGTGCAGACTGAGTGAACACGCTGGACACAGAGAGATACACCAATGGTAAATCACACACAGTGGGACCCACAGCTCTGCACAAGCACATCTGGACATAGAAGAGAGCACAGAACATCCACCAGTACTTCTGAGTCCACATCTTGAATGTGGGAAAATCACCGAGTATCAAGAGCTCACACTTTCCTTTGATCGAGTTCTGCACCTTCCCCTCAGTGACAGAGAGAGTCTGACATTCCATGGTAAACACTGTAACATTAACTTCTTGGGAGGGAGCTCCCTCCTCGGGATGCAACTCTGTGACTTTAAAGCTTTTCAGACTCTATAAAAATGAAAAGCTGAAACATATAAAATCTTAAAATTCCATTTATGTTATGTAGAACTAGATATATACACACACACATCTTTTTTCTTAAAATAAAAATTGAGCCCATTCTCTCCCTCTAGATATAAACTCAACATCTTGTTTCAGGTTTTCAAATACATTTTAGACCTCTGAGAAACTCTGCTCAAGATAAACCTGTAGACAAGTCAAGTTTCCTTGGAAAGCAAAATTTAAACCACATTTTTTCTATAAAGAGTCACAGTGATACAGCTCATGAAACATTTCCAAGTTGCAATCAGGAAACTTCTCAAATCAAGATCGATCTGTCTGTGGCTGATTTATCTGAATATACACCTGTAAGAAATCATAACTCAGGAACTGATATAAACCACTGTTTTCTTATTAAACTGTACATTATAGACAAGATTGGATATAAAAGTTGGGATTTTTTTCTTTACAAACACAAATGTTTTTCTGCTCGTTGCCCTCCATTTGCCATCAATCCAGAGCTCGTGTTTCCATGGGAAACAGTGGCAATTCCAAGTGGACAAACAACAAGGATCTGGAGATCAACGTAAAACCTCCCCATAGAATGGAAGGTCAGAAAGGTTGCAACCTGTAGCAAGACAGGACTTATCATTTCCACTGGAAACAAGCACAGCCACTACTGAGAAGTCATGAAAACTTGCCAGCTTTTCCTCCCCAATACAGAAACAAGGTGGCAAAGAATGTGCCAAAAAGCTACTTCACCATCAGGATGAATGGGGAAAAACAGTAATAAAGAAGATAATAAAGCAAAGAAATCAGGTGATGTATTTTGCTACAACTGAATAAAACTTCAGGCCGGATAGCAGGAAAGCTGGAGCTACAAAACTCTCATTTCAGTTAAGTTTCTCTTCTGTGAATTCATTCAAACTTACAAGCTCTAAAGCATTAATTCATCCTGAGTTAGACGGGTACCTGGGGATAACATTAGGAGAAAATTCCCAAACTGAAAGACCTGAGAGAGGACAAACTCTCCTTGAAGATGGATGCCCAGTATTCCTGACAGGGTGTCCTTCTCCCAGAGCAGCACTGTTGGTCTCTCAGTTGATGCGGTGGCCCTCGGGCACGGGGGTCACACCCAAAAGGAGCTTCCCAAGTACCTTTAAACCACCAAGGTAAGAACACACTGGATTCTGTCACAGTCACTACTGAGATGGATAACAATTCTGAAAGAGTTGACATAATGAGGAGGAAGGAGAGAAATTGAAAAATAACATCCAAATTCCATCATTTTGGTTTGCCAAGGCCATCACAGTGGCAATTGGTGTGAACATTCCTTCTCACTTCCATCAGCATTGCCCTTTTCCTCACTCTTGTACGTGGAGAGGAATAAGTTTTCTATCTGAGTCAAGAATTCTTCAGCAATGAGGCAGTTTGTTACCTTGCCCAAAGTCTTCCTCATGCACTCCAAAAGCTGGTCAAAACAAAAGAAAATTTTGTTAAAATTGACATTTTTCCTGAAAATTTTTTTGGTTTTTTTTATTAAAAGGGATTTTTATTTGGAATTAACACTAAAAAATTATTCAAGTGTGCAATACAGCAAAAGGAATGGTGACACAGGAACTCACAGGTGATTTAAACCCAGTCTTTTAAAACCAGTTATACAACAGCTGAATTCCAGAGCACTCTACCAACTTAATTTTAGATTCACACTGTTTATAAGCAAAGCCATGTTGAGAGGAAACAAGAGAATTCAACGTGGGCAACTACTGTGTACAAGTGATTTGCCATTAAATCTTCTCCAGCTGAGGGTTAACTTGGTGTCTGCACATAACACACATCCCCACCTCTCTCAAAGGAGGATCCTTATTTTCTCTGTGTAGGTGAATAAGTAGTGCCACAGAAGTAATTTATTACCACTAATTTCCATCTCTGATTTGTAAAAATGTAACTTCAGGTGATCTCTGCTGACATGAAACAGATTTGCATTTAAAAAAAACCCATTTAACAATAAAAAAAAAAAACTTACTTTCTGCAAACAAGTCAGGTCAGAATCCCTATGAAAGATTTTATCCATGGGGACACTGCTGTTGGAAGAAAAACAAACACGAATGCGGGAGAAAGGAGCCACAGGTCTTGACTGAAACAATAATAAACACACAACAATTATAAACTGGCTGTTTGTAACAGCAGTACACACATACCTGTGGCAAAATCTGTACTTTTCAATTATCCACCTTGTTTTTTCAAATACTAATTCCCACTGAGGCTCCTCCATCATCTGCTGCACTTCGAATTTGTAGGGCAGGCCTGCAATCAATGGAACATCATCATTCAGTGTTTCTAGGACACTCCACTGCTTTCCTTCTCTTTTCAGTTTTAGGTGCAACCCCATCCCTTCGCCTTAACTGTTCCTGTTTGTTACTGACTGCAGAAGTCTGTGGTTCTGTACTTGACAACATTAAGGAGGTTAAAGCAAAAGGATGACGTGTTTTGGATTCCAAATTTAATTGTGGTGGGAGTAGGAACAAATCTGTTTTCCTCCCTGCCCTCACCAATTCCCCAGGCCATAAGGAAGGACACAGAAATCTACAACAAACAGCGAAAGAGAAAAACGTGGTTTAGTACCACTTTTGTAGTGGTAAATCTCTCTAAGGTTTAGGTGACTAATAAGTGAATAAAAAAAGGTTTGGTGCTTATGTATGAAAGGGCTGCTGCTGACTATTGTTCTCCATTTCAGAGGAATTTTGCTTTGAAAGAAAGAAAATCTTCGGGTTTGTTGCAGGTGAGAGAAGAGGAATTTAGCAAGAGAATTATTCGCAGGTAACAATTCAGTTATCCAAAATCAGGGAGAAAGAAATAAGTCATTTCCAAAGAGCCAGAGGAGATCCCATTTTGTAAAATCTTGATTTCAAGGGCTAAACAGAAATATGGAATCCTCTTAGACAATTCCTCTCAGAAAATGTAAGTGACTACAAAAAAGTCTTCTAAGGACAATGAAGTTTGTCAGTAATCTAACTTCTCCACAAGGATGGGATGTGTGGGAAATGAGGATAAAATCACAGGACAATCAGCGTGGTAAACAGGAATTAGTGCACAGACGTGGCCGCTGCTCCACTTCCCCCAGGACTGTGCAGTGAGTCTCCAGGCAGATGGTCTCCCTTGCTTACTTCCACAGGAAAAAACAGGGAGAACTCTTGGCTCACGTGGCCTCAGCTACTGCTGTGCCAAGAGAAGTGGAAACCTTGGAGCGGGGATGCAAAAATCAAACTTTATAAATAGAGGGAGGGAGGAGGAGAGAGAATAGGCAGCTCCAGAACCATCTTCTGCTATCAGGGGAATTTTCCTCAAATGAATGTCAGGGAAAGAGCAGAAGATTTGATCATCACTGGAAATACCATGAATTTTCTATGGTGTGTTCAACTGCTAAAGAAAGGAAAAGATCCCGTTTTCATCAAACCCCTTAGGTGGGGTTCCTGCCAGCACACCCTTTCAGCCTTCCTGGCAAGTTTGATCCTTTGACCTTCTGAATGGCACATTAGTCAAAAATTAAGGATTTTTAGCCACCGTAGCAGCCAATTCTTTGTTATTTACTTCTGTTTCCTTGAGCAGAGAATCTGTTCAGAACGTTGCAATGCAGTAAAGCCCATGCTGTACATGTGAAACCGTTTCTCAACTGTTCATAAAAATTCTGCACATAAGTAACAGTGACCCTTATCCCAAACCTTTCACAGATTGCGGAAAATACTCAAAAGAAAAATCTTCTGCCTATCTATATTTGTTTATTCTTGTCATGACAGCAGGGACAACTTTCAGGATCACTCTTTCAGTGAAATTCTCAGGTTTGTCCAGCACATGTCACCAACATAAACTACACCATTTGTACAATACCATCATCTTACCAACACAAATACCTAAATACCTATTTCTTAAGTTCAAAAGCAGACCTTTTTCCCCTCAGTATCCAAAAGGAAAAGGATAAAATAGATGGACTTACGGTAGGAACCATCAGCACTGAGCTCGTCACTGATGACCAGGCAGGTGATCTGGGAATACGGCAGGGGATTATTTCGGTTGTAAGGGCTTATGATCATTCCAATGAACATGGCCCCACCCCTGGAGAAATAGCTCTGAAAAACCAAAAAACACACAAAAAACCCACGTACAAAAATCTGATGTTTTTCAGAAGAGGATGCTGAAATTTAAAACCCAGCATTTCTGTCAATTTACAGCTGAGCTGATTTAAGATCAGAGCATTAATACGTACTAACACTGTAAATACCACGGAGGCTTTGGGGGGGTTTTTTGCTCTTTGTCTGTCTTTGCTGTACCTGGTATTTGGCTTGAGTGTCAATGTCTCGTATGGAGGGGTTGGGGTCAAAGGCTGGGTGGGAATGGTACCATCCAATGACCTGGAATCCTCTGGCAGCCAGAGTTTCCGAGGCCTGTGTCTGGGACACCGGATCCATCTCGCACTGCAGGCCTGTGCTGAGGCTGTTGCAGGGCTCTGCTGCACACACCTGGTAAAGAAACCTCCAGATGGATAAATGCAACAAACCTCCATCAGTTACATAAAACCTCATAAACAGAATTGTAAGAATAATTTACCAGGTCTTTCTCCTTCACAATTGAACGCAACTCTAACGTTTCAAGACTACAGTAATTAACTTAGATTTCAGATATTTAATTAATTTCCCTTCAGAAATAACAGTTACATTTATTCAAATTACATCTATTATCATATCAGTTTCAATATTTTAGAGACAATGTAAAAAGACAAACACTTACTTCTACAATTTTATCAGCTTCAGAGTACCTTCCACCTAGCAGCCCTATCACTTCTGCCAGAGACACGTGAGAGTGCTGGAAGGAGATCAAACAGGTATGAAAGAAATGAGATTAAACAAGTATGGAAGTCCAAGTTGTGTAATTTCTCTTTGTTTTGCCCAGCACTCAAGTCAGTAACCTCTCAATGACATTTAGAAGGAAAACTCAAAACAACTAAAACCTCTCAAAACCCCATTGTTTCCATTTAAAGCAAACAGAAAAGATTAAATTTGCTTATTATAAACACACCAGGGATGCAGTGCAAGGGTGTAACACACCCACAGATGCAGCCTGGGCAGTGTTGAACAACTGCACGATTTTGGTACAACCTGCTGCTCTTACAAAAATCCCCACATATTGCTTTGTAAACACAAAATCAATTGCCAGACTGGTAGAAAATGAAGCCACAGATCTCAGAAGGACAGACTGTCAGAAAGCAGCTTTATGCAAATTAGATTTAAAGTGTGACAGAGAGTAGTAAGTAGTAAAGCAGCAAAACTCTTATTCATTTTTCTAGAAGGTAAATGGTTGTACAGTAAGCACAATATAAAAAGTATTCACCTTTAGGGGCTTTATTTAATACTAGGTTCTCAGTTCTAGGTGAATGAAAACATTACTGTATTTCTCAGTCTTCCTGAGAAGAAGACTGCATTTAAAAAAAACCCACAACATAGACATCATAGCTTTTTGAAAGATAAAACTTAATCCTCACCAAATCCATTACTAGAAGTGCTTCAGAAGACACTTTCACCTTAAAAGGTTCCTGAAATGATAAAGACAATAATGAGTATAAGAAAAGTAACTCAAGTAATGAAGCCTCCTTGGTAATTCCCTCAGAGGTACATACCTGCTTTTCCTCCGTGAACAGACAGCAGGGTATCAGCTGAAAGGGATCAAAGGAACTATAAAATGAAAGAAAATTTCTCTAAAGATGTAGGACAGTCAGGAAACTTTTCAACTTTCCCACTGTCACCTCAGCTGAGGAGGAATAACCTTGTTTTCTTCACTGGATTTTCTCATCCCACACTAGGATGACTTACTCCAAATACAGAAACATCACTCCCCACACTCGTGAATTCCAACAGGAAACATGTGAAATGCATCCAGGCTATTTCAGACCATGACACACATTAATGCTTTGGACCTTTCCAGCCTGACACAAGACATTGGTTCAATCTCTGCCAGATTTGTGTTTGAACACAATGCACATCCAGTAATACCTTTTGGTTTGTCTCGAACCTTTAGAAGATTTTGCAGGTTTCAGTTTTTCTTCCTCTCTCCTTCTTGCTAATTCTTCAGCTGAGAGATGCTAAGAGGATTTAACAAAAAATTAAATGTCTTAATGTCTGAAGTGCTGTTTCAACGGTGACTGCAAAACCAGCCCAGAATAAATTCTTGATATCATTGTCCTCTTGATATAATTTGTGTGTTACAGAACTACTGATGGTGGAGGCAACAGCCATTAACCAGGCGGTGTGGAACGAGTGACAATCAGAGACCAAGTCCACAAGACGCCTGATGAGAGAATTCTCATACTAAATCAATCCAATTCAGTAAAATCACAGCCCACATCACAAACCAGGGTGTCAATCCAAGTGTGACAATCTGCCAGTACTAACCATGCTCAGAACTTATCACAACCCCTCTTTAGGGATGGTTGTTTTCAACCTTTATTTCCATCCAAATATGTAATTTGCAAAAAGTGTTCAAATTATTAATCACAGTTAATAAAAAACAGGCACAGTATTATGGAAGTAATTGTTACAAGTAATTACTAAAGGTTGCAAATTAAGAAGGTTTTCTATACAAGAAAAATAAATGTTCTTCACTTTTCATATAATTTGAAATTGTAGGAATGGACAAGTATTTTCTTTCCAGTTCTCCCATAAAATATTTAAACTTGTATGAATTTTTAAAGCACTTCATAAACCACAGAATTTCTGGGGATATTGCTAGCAGCAGAATTAATATTAGGAACTCCCTACCACCTGCATAATGAGCACAAAGAAACCATATAGGACTGAAAAAATAACATTTAAATGTTATTCTCCCACTCCTTACCATTTGCTTTAAGGCAGTTAACTCAAAAGCAACGGATCATGAAATCTCCTACAAGACGAGGCAAAAAGCTTTAGGGGCATAAAACCCCTGTGCAAACACCAACTTTATTTATCAACTGCTGCATTACTTTCAAATTATTGCTTCCACAAGAGAGGTTAAGTCCCTATGACACAACCGTTCCCTTGTCTGTTTGATGCAACACCACCTGCCAGCAATCAGAAAGAATTAATTCCTTAAGGAAAGTTAAAAACATAGAAGGGTCACCTCAAATGTCTGTCCTTCCAAATCCTTGGCATCACACCAGTTTCCCCAGGGGTCTCGCACTCGCCGCCTTCTCGTGCGCTGTGGCAAGAAATGACCAAGAGTCAGGGCTCTCACCCTGAAAACGCTGCATTTACTCCAGCCGGGCAGCCACAAGGACAGCGTCCAAAAGGTACTGCCACAGGGGTGTTACCAACACCCCGGAGTCCTGCAGACTGTCACAAAATATCATCAGTGGAGGTTTTGGATTTTAAGGCACTAAAGCCTGATGGTGTTCTGTGGAAACGTGGCACTGTTATCCAGCTCTGAATTCTAGCTCAGACAATACACAAAACTATAAAACCAGCATGTTTACATCCAGTGGATGCTGCAGCTCTTTATATTTCAATTTATTATATTTTTAATGGGATTGATTTAGTTTTTCCTCTCGTCAACTGATGTATTTTGCTGTGAAGCACTTAAAAATGCTGTATTACAAGAGAATATGAACATTAACTCTGGCAAGCCTTGGTAATTCATGTAGCCACTACTGCACTTAATTGTGTGCATAATGCTCTCAGTGAGCCATATCCTACTCCATTTAACAGTTGAAACGCGAGCAACTGAATCACACACTGGAAACACTTCAGCAGGAAAGCTGGACAGACTTTTCCCCCTCGTGCTGCCCCCCCGGCCGCACCATGGACTGCAGGCGCTGGGCGAGCTGATAGGCTTCCACCGCGTCCTTGCCCTCCCGGGAGCGCGTCCTGTCGGCTGCCTGGGGCCGGTTGTACACGGCCTGCTCTGCAGGGGACACAAGGGAGACAGCACGGATGTCAGCACGGATGTCAGCAAAGCACGGACAGCTCAGCATGGCTGCACACACGGGGAGGGCAGGGGCGAGTGGGAACGGCAAATGCCACCGTGAAAGAGGCAACAAAAAATAACCCAGAGTAAAGAGACAACTCTTGTTGGTCATAATTCTGTTATTTTTAATTACTTTACTTCAGACAAAAGGTATTTGCAAGACATTGCTCCTCTCCCAGGTGACTCTTTCAGCTTTGGACCAGAATCCATCCAGAGACTCTAAAACAACACCAAGTTACAGGTGTGTACATACACTTTAAACATGTCACCTGATTTTAACATTTGCATAGTTTAAAAACTAGCCCTGAGAATGAAAACATTAGTGTTTATTTAGGAAATAGTTATCATTCAGTGTGGGAAAAGTAACAGTAACTTGAATTTTGTCTTACAAGGAAGGAGGGCAGAATTTCAGATACAGTGGGTTATCGGGGAAAAAAAAATAATCCAACACTAGACACACAGAAAAGCACAAAACAAACCAACCAGCCTACCAGCTCATGTATGGTTAAACATGAGGGAAGAGAAAAAAAAATAAAGAAAAATAAAAAGGTTCTGTGTAAAACCAAAAATCCATAATTCTGTAGGCAGGTTACAAACTCCTCCAGATTTTCCAAGGCTATGAGAGGCAATCTGCTCAGAAAATCCCTCCTAGCAAGGGTAACTGTGTATCCTCTGGGTGAGCAGTGCAGCCTAACATCAGGCATCACCCCAAACCAGGCTATTTATTGATTCCCAGAGAAACTTCCCTACCACAGCCGAAGTTAATGGCTCCGATCAGCTCCAGGTACGTGTGGATCCGCCCAATGCAGTTGACATCGCCGCAGTTCTTCAGGCCCGGACGCACCGAGGTCTTGTTCAGGTACTTGGGTTTACATCTCTCCCTGAAACCAAATGCATCCCATTGTCAGACAGCAGAACAAATCATGGGGGGAGGAAGGAATTGAGTGATTTTAACTGAGGTCCTGTTTTCACTCTCTGTGCACTTATTGCTTCCTTTTAAACTGACACTTCTCTGAATGTGGAATTTTAGTCTTTAGTTCTTTCACCCACAACAAGCTGCCAGTGCACAAGACAACTGAGTAGAGTCTGAGTTAAACACAGTAACTCTTTCTACTTAAAAGCAAGCTAAGCAACACAAACCACAGTGGCAACAGGACAAACTGTGTCTTGAGCCTGCTGCCACAAATCCCTGTGGTTCCTCATACCTGCTCTTTAGAGATGGGATATAAAATATTCAAGTGTGCAAGCACTACTCCAAATTGATACTTACTTTGAGGCATTCTTTTTGCTCAACATCATTTGTTCCAGCACAGACTTCTTGCTGCCCTTCTGTAAAGGCTGCAGACCCCATCACAGAGTTAATGTCACCAGTTACTTATTTTGAAGAACCACTTATTAAAACCATTCTTACATATAGGATGGCAAAAGTTGGAAGAAAATAACCAAAATGCATGCAGCTTGTCCTGATACAGGACACTAATTTTCATAATGCTTCAAAGTATTTTCACTGCTTAGCTTCCAGAACGCCAGGAAGAACATGGGAAGATACAAAAGAAGCATTAATAATGAATGCTGTTCACTGGAAAGCTACCATACAATAATTTTACTCTTTTCTGAAGCTATTAGTACTAAGTAGTGTTTTAACTACAACAAACCAAAACACCTTAATCACTTACTTCGGTAAAAGAAATCAATGCCTCTTACCATTGATCCAAAATATAATTCCTGATTTTCAAGTAACGCTCTGGTGTCTTGGCCTGGCGCCCTTCAAAGAACTCGGGAATAGCCTGCTTTTCCTCTTCCAGAATGATGCTCCTGTCAACCTCCACTTCTTGATCAGGGGGCTTCAGCTCCTCTGCTTCCTCCTGATGATCTTCATCCGCTTGGCAGGGAGAAGGAAAAAGCAATCCACTGTCAGCCGGGTTTCTTTGCTCCTCACTGGGCTCCAGAGCAGTCGCTTGTCCAGTACCATGAGATGTTACTGCTCCTTCTTGTTCAGCTTTCTCAATGTAACTGTTGTACTGCTGGAAATCTAAGCTCAAAGATTTATCCCCATTCAGGTGCTGGGAACACATTGCTGCCACAGCAGGAAATACCAAAGCATCCACTGTATCCTGCCTGGTCTGCTGAGGATCTTCTTTAGGCAAAGCAATTGCAGAACTGTGTCCAGCAGATGACAAACCGTGTTCCATTCCTTCTGGTTCTTCAACTGGACTTTTTTGAATAACAGGTAAGTCAGATTTTCCAGTTTCTTGCTGGAAGGTAGGAGAGAGTGGCTCATCCATGTCATCAGTTATGTCTACTTCTTCATCATCTGACAGCTTTTCAATTTTCACTGCATTCAGATTGGGGTCTGCACGGCCTCTCAAATTTCCAGTTTCCGCCCTTATCCCATCGTCCATGGGAACACTGCTCCCACACTGACTTTGCTCTTCTTTTTCAGAATCACCATTTTTTGCCTTAGGAAAATATCAAATATTTTGAGGAGGGAAAAACAAAACAATCCCATCTGCCTCCCAAATAATCAGAACTATTTCATCTGAACAGCAGATATTCCGAAGTGTTCCTTCCTTATCTTACCCTTTTAATGTAGTTTAATCCACTGCAACTGACTTGGGCACAGCATTAAAGGTATACTTTAGCCCAAGTGTCAATTAACATGGATTTCCAGTCACAAAATCCTAGAAAATAGTAATTTCTTCTTAAATGTCCCTGAAATATCAAGTGAAGTTAAGGCTAAAAGTACAACACTCAACAAGGACAGCTGTGTGGTAGAAAACAATTTTCATGCTAATGAAAACAGTGTAAGAGGCCACAATTATACAACATTTATTTTTAGTTATAACAGCAATAAAAATAGAGGTTATCCTTGGAATTTGAAATCAGGTCTGATTGATTTTAAATCTACAAATAAGTATATTCCACTTTTTTGAATATGGGAATAAACAGAGTATGTGCTTTGCCAGCAAGTGCCCTGAAAAGACAGATTAAAAGCAAGCAATATGTGCAACACCACACTTGGCAAACAGCCTTTTTGCCAGCTTCAGAGATCCTCCATTTACCTTGTTCCTAAAGTACTGCCGAGCGTAGCTCTTGACTTGCAGGACAGTTCGACTCCCGATCAACTTGGCGATTTTTGTCCACCGGCGGCCGAATTTCACCTGACACAACAAAGCACACTGAAGTCACCCAAACTCTGACATTCCAGACATTCCACTTCATGTGCCCAAAGAGTTTCAAACATCAATTGTTCACTAAAATGCACAAACAGTACAGCAAACCCATGGTAAAGAACCTCACTATTAATGTTCTACCAGGAAGAAAATGGCACCCGACAGTAGGAACTGTAGTTATTCTGCCTAGCTAGAGCACCTTCTGCACCCTGTTCAGGCACTCTGTAAATCACGCTCCCTGCTATCCCAAGGAATGCTACTGAAACGAGTCTGTGCTTGGCAAGCAAACCCTATTACATTATATTACATATAATCTCTAAAGGCCTTACAACAGTAGTTACAGGATTTCACTTTATTTGCCTTAGAGGCACACTACACTTCCCATAGCTAAGGACGGCATTGTGACCGTGCAACTCATAACGCTGAGTATTTGAGGTATTTTGTGCTCTCAAATTTTAATCAGCCTCACATGAACAAAATCTGGTAAAGAAAACCATTTTGGGTTATCATTACACTCTTGGCAATGGCAATTACTTTTAACATATTAGATAAAAAAAGCAGAAGCCTTAGAAGAACCATAACATGCTTCTTCATATTAACTAGTCTCTCATTTAGAATAAACTAATGAATTCAATTAAAAACATTACATCTATAAACAAACTCACCAGTCCTTGCTCAAATAGCTCTTTTTCCTCCAATGTCCACTTCAGGGAGCAGCCAGGTGGTTTTGCAGGTGACCGGACTCTGGCAAGGCAGGAAACAAAAGTTGGTGCTTTCCTAAAAACATTTAATTCTCCAATCCCAGTAACTCAAGGCACCTTCTGACAGGGGAACAACTCCCCTTCTTTGGTAAAACTCAAAGTACTGTTTTAAACATGAGTGTATAAACATGATAAATAAAATACTGAGAATCAGCTTCCCCACCACAAAGGAAGATTCAAGGCAACTCAATATTCATCAGTGACTAATAGCACAGAAATGCAGAAAAGCAGCAAACAGAAAAGTTCAGTCAAAAAAAGTCAACTGGAATTAACAATTTTTTTCATAAGGATCACTGTGTAAAAAAAAGCAAAAAAGCAACCCCCCTATTTTACTATAGGCCTATTATTACACACAATGTTTCTTCCTGTTGAAAGGTCTCTTACATAATTTTGCACAGCCAAACAAAACGAACTAAGGAACTGTAACTTCTTTTTTAAAATAGTTTGTAGTAACTTAAGTCAGACACCACACTTAAAAATGCAACTCAATCTTTAAAAGGTACATACATGACTTTTCCAGTTTTCTTATGAGGGCTGCAAATAGAAAACAAAGTGAAAATAAAATTTAGTGATTGTGATGCTGCAAATAACCCTATTTTAGCAGAACTTTTCATTTCTTCTCATCTAATTTTTCCCAAGCATATCTTACCTTTTCACAGATCTTTTCTCCACTTCCTTTTGGTTGAGCCATATTTTTTCAGAAAGTGATTTATTAGATAAATAATACCTAAAATAGTTGCTAAGTAACTTTTTAAAGCATCAGAGATATTTGTACATATAAGAATTCCAATAATCATCTAAATTATACTGGTTCAGAATTACCCAGCTGTAGAAACAAATACTGCAGTTTCTGTAGCAGTATTTCTTCAATCCACCTACAAGGTATCAAAGCTTCAGCTGCCTTAACAGGAAAAGATTAGTGCAGTTCCTCTGGAAACAGGAAGTTTTCTGTTTTCCTACAGGAAAACGTGAAACCAAATCAGGAAAAGGATACTCTTCTTCCAGCAACATCTTCTCAATGACAGCCCTGTTTTCTTCACTAATGCTGCTGTCCAACGTCCAGGGCTGCAAACAACACAACTGTGTTTTAATATCTGAATGCCTCAGAATAAATATATAATATTTTCTAAAAGTAAGGCAAAAGCACAGGTTAAAAACCTAAAGAGCATGTACATAGAGGGAAGAGCACACAGCAGCTGTGATAACCTTGCTAGAAGCACCACTCATTTAAAAAATACTTACAAGACTGTTGCCAGTTCTCCAAGATGAATCGAGATAGTGATCCTGCAGCAGGCTTGATGCCGGGTTTTCATGATCTCTGAAAGAGATTCCAATGTGCAAGACAACTGCAGTTTAATATTAAAAGTTTCACTGAGTTCTATTCTCTCCACTTAACATTTCTACACGTTTCCTCCAATATGGTTAAAACACCTCCTTGTAAAGACAAACTTGTTTTGCTGGCAAGAAAAGCTCATACTTACACAAGGGTTAATAGTACAGGGCTGTTAGAATCATGGAATGGTTTGGGTCGGAAGGGACCTTAAAGATTATCTCATTGGCAGGGACACCTTCCACCAGACCAGGTTGTTCCAAGCCCCATCCAACCTGGCCTTGGACACTTCCAGGGGTGGGGCAGCCACAGCTTCTCTGGGCAACCTGTGCCAGGGCCTCACCACCCTCACATGGTTCCCAGTATCTAATCTAGTGCTCTTACAGAATTCATCCAGTTTATGCTTGATCTTTTCTGTAACTACTTATTAGAGATCTGTCTCTGATTAACATAATTGATCAACTTACTTTCATTTTCATGCAGCATAAAATCTGCTTAGTAACACAAGTAATTACTTGTTTAAAAAATCCTTTCTTCCAGAGCATTCAAACAGTTCCAGTGACTAATTAGCTCTATATCCCCTGCAGTGCTACTAATTTTAAACTCATCTACTATTCTGAAATGCTTTGTGCCAGCACTTCAAACATCTTTTTATAGGATAAAGAATAAATCTCCACATACAGTCAGAAGCCTACACATCTCCTGCTTCTTTTGGAGCACACCAAGGACAGGGGGGGATCAACACCCCCTTTGTCCAGCAGCCTGTGTGCAGCAGTGGCAGGTGCTGCTCTAGGACAGCAAGTCTCTGCTACAAACCTCTTGTTCTCTTCCAGCACCTGCAAGTGCATTATTTGAGGTGTTACAGTCTCTGCCTGTTCACTTTGCCATCGCTTATCTGTGGATTTGCTGAAGCCCAGAAAGCCAATTGAATCCTGGGCTGCATCCAAAGGACCATGGCCAGCAGGCTGAAGGTGATTCTTCCCCATAGTTCTCCATCCAGCTCTGGGGTCCCCAACGTAAGAAGGACATGGAACTATTGGAGCAAATCCAGATAAGGCCATGAAATTGGTAAAAGGACTGGAGCACCTCCCCTACGGAGACAGGCTGGGAAAGTTGGGGCTGTTCAGCCTGGAAAAGGTTGTGTGGAGATCTCACAGCAGCCTGACAGTACCTGAAGGGGCCTACAGGAAAGGGATTCTCCATCAGGAACTGCAGTGACAGGACAGGGAGTAATGAGTACAAAGTGAAAGAGGGGAAATTTATGTTAGATATTGTGAAGAAGAAATATTTTCCTGGGAGGTTGGTGAGACACTGGCATAGGTTGCTAAAAAAAGGTTTGGATGCCCCATCCTGGGCAGTGTTCAAAGCCAGCTTGGATAAAGCCTTGAGCAACCTGGTCTAACGGGAAGTGTCCCTGCCCACGGCAGGAGTGGAACTGGATGATCATTGAGGTCCACTCCAACCCCTTTACATTCTATGATTTTGTGGCTCCGTTTTGTGCACCTCCTCCCGGCGTTCAGCTCTCTGACCCTCTCTGCGTCCGCGAGCTCGCGAACACAGTTACACAACCCAGCAGCTTCTCCAAGTGTATTTTTAAGGATTCTCCCAGCAGCCTCCAGGCGCTGTTCCGGGCTCTGGGGGATCCCATGGCAGCAGTTCCGTGTTCTTATCACACCAGCGCTCCCACAGCCCCGTTCCCTGTGCCCTGCCTGACGATGCTCCGCACTGGCGCTGCCCCCTCTCCACGGGCACTCCCTGACACTCCAAGGTCTCTCCCCAGAGCGGCGGGAAGCGCCCGGCCAGGGCCGCCCCCTCAGGAGCGGCCGCCCCTCGCGACCCCCGCCCGGCGCGGTGGGACGGGCCGCGCTCCCGGAGCCCGCGGGACCCTCACTCACCCGGGAGGGGCCGCTGGGTCCCCCTCGATGTCCACCTCGGGCTCCTCCGCCGCCGCCGCCATGACACCGGGACGGCGCTATCGCGGGAAGGGGCGGCCCGGCGGCGGCGATGGGCGGGCACAGAGCGCTGAGGAGCGGCCGGGCGGAGCCGGACATGGCGCTGAGGTAGGCGGAGCGCGGGGCGGCTGGGGAGGGTGTCGAGCTGAGGGACTGGCCGGGCTGTGAGGGGACACGGCCGGGCTATGAGGGGACACGGCCCAGCTGAGGGCCATGGCCGGCTGTGAGGGGACATGGCCCAGCTGAGGGCGGCCATGGCCGGCTGTGAGGGGCCATGGCCGGGCTGTGAGGGGCCATGGCCGGGCTGAGGGGACATGGGCCAGCTGGGGGACATGGCCGGGCTGTGAGGGCACATGTCCGGGAGCTGATGGAGCGTGGCCGGGCTCTGAGGGTCACGGCCGGGCTGTGAGTGAAGGGGTGACGGTGAGGCAGAGGCTGAGGGCAGCGCAGGATGCGGCGGCGGGAGGCTGGAACCGGAGCCCGCTCTGGTGAGGGGCTCCCCGAGTGCTGGGTGCGGGTCGGGGCCCCTCACTGCGAGAAGGACATGGAGAGGCTGGGAAAGAGAGCTGGGAAAGGGTCTGGAGCATCGGGAGCAGCTGGGGGGGCTCAGCCTGGAGGAAAGGAGGCTCGGGGGGACCTTCTCGCTCTCTGCAACTCCCTGACAGGAGGGTGGAGTCAAGTGGGAGTCGGGCTCTGCTCCCAGGGAACAAGTGACAGGTTGAGAGGAAGTGGCCTTAAATTGTGCCAGGGGAGGTTTAGAATGTATGTTAGGGGAAAATTCTTCACGGAGAAGGTGGTCAGGCATTGGAAGGGGCTGCCCAGGGAGGTGGTGGAGTCCCCGTCCTTGGAGGTGTTTGAGGAATGACTGGACGTGGCATTCAGGGCTCTGGTCTGGTTGATGGGATGGTCAGTCAAAGGTTGGACTGGATGATCTTGGAGGTCTTTTCCAGCCTAAATGATTCTGTGATCCTGGAGGCTTGCACAGGCCATACATCCCTTTGTACTTCAAGCATGTGGTCATGTCTGTTCTTTCATCTAGAAGTGTTGTGTGCGTCAAGTTAAAGTGTTGTATTATCAATACCAAAAAATCAGTTTTGTTCCCATGCGTTCTTAAATCTGTTTTTCATTTCACAAGAAATGTTTTGGTGTTTGTGGTAGCTGGGCTTTTAATCATATACCGAAGGGAAGAGTTGGTTATTGTTACCGTCCACTCAAGAAAGTGTTTCTGTTTATATTTGTATTGTCATCTCAAGACAAATATTTTGAATCAATAAAGTCTGTTGCAACCTTTTTATTCTGAACATTTCCTCTTTGTGCTGGAGTGGATTTGTAAGTGAAATTAATAAACAGCAAATGTGATTTTTTTGTTATCTCTATTTAAAAAAGCAAATTGAGACAAATGGTAGCATGAAAGATAGAAGGAAAAATAATTGTTAATGATTGTTGTAGTCTTAGGACCACAATATCAGGCAGATTCTTCTGTGCAGCTCCGAAAAGAGCTGACTCCATTGTTTCAGATGACAGATTTTTTGAATATTCCAGTAGGATTTTGAAGATGGATGGGTGGTTGCTGTTGAAGGCTCTTTCAACCGTGTTGGAATCAACACTGGCTCCAGCTTCTAGAAGTGTTTTTGCAGTGCTTTCAGACCCCTGAGAAACAGCGTAACTGAGAGCAGTCTGTCCTCTCTCATCCTTCTCATCTGGGGGGGCACCAGCCTCTAAAAGCATTTTGGCCAGACTGCTCTCACCTTTAAGAGCTGCCACCTGCAAAAAGCTGTGCCGGTTCCTGCACCTTCTTGCCTCTTCTTTCAGGAGCATCTTCAATATGTGACTGTGGTATTTCTCTGCAGCCAAATGAAGAGGTGTCTTGCCTTCCGTGTCCAAACTGCACAGAGGCACCACCCCGGAGAAGTACTTTGGCTGCGTCACCGTGGCCTCTCTCAGCAGCCCTGTGCAGGGCTGTCCTCCCTTTCCCGTCCTTCAGACCTGTCTTTGCACCTTTGCTGATCAAATATTCCACAGTCAGTGGGTGTCCATGAGCAGCTGCAACATGCAGAAGTGTTTCCCTGGTGGAATTTAGTGCAGTGATATTGAGTGTGTTCTCTAACTCAGAGAGAGAGCTTTTGGCAACTGCAGCAAAAACGTCAAGAGCAGCACCATCTCCTCTAGGCTTTGCTCTCCTTGGAAGTTGAGTTTCTTTTCCTTTCTTCTTAGTAGCCCATTTGTGTGGTCTGTCTTTATTCCCCTGGTGCTGTTCCCTGCTATTTTCAAGCCAAACCTTATCTTTTTCAAGTAAATACCCAATCAGTTGTCCTCTGGCATCTCCAATGCTTTCATTTACTTCACCAACATATTTTCTTATCTTGCTATAAAGTCTTGGGTCCATTTGCTTTAAACATGGGTAAAAAAAGAGTCTGCAGGCTTGTTCACCTTGAGAAATGAGTATTTCTAAAACCTGAGAGTTCTTTTCTGTTCGTGTCCTGTAGAAACTCATGACCATCCTTTTTTCTGGGGTAAAAATCCCATTGTCTATGAGCCAGTGCAGGAGCTGGTTTGGGTCCTTTGTGCCTTCCACCAGCTCTTCGTTTTTAGTCCTCAGGACTTGGATTGCATATGGGTTTGTAAACAGGCTGCTTGAGTGCACCATCACATTGCTAATCAAAGAGTGAGTTGAGGTGCTGTGGGAAGGTAAATAGGAAGTAGCAAGGCAGGCTCATGTAGTTTCTTTTCAGAGAACTATGAACAACTGTTGTAGTTCAGAGATAAATCTTTAAAGAATGAGAAAGAAATCGAAACTCCCTCACCTTTGGGTTTCTGGTTGTTAGAAGTCCTTTGATCTCCTCTCTTCTTCCTTAGCAACGAGTGCAGTTTAATAACAAAAGTCTGTGGTATGTAAAGATATTCCATTTGGAAGGTTTCTTCCAGATTTTTTACACATAATTAGGAATAAAAAAAAGCTTTTGTGAATCTGATATTTGAATAGAAGATATTTGTTTGTTGAGTTTCTCTGTTCCTCTGGCCAAGCTGGTTTTTGTAGGTGCCTAAATGACCAGTCGATTAAACAGGACAAAAGAAAGTTGACGGCACAGTTACTGTTGCCACGATCACACCCCTGGTGTGATCTGAAATGAGAGTCCACACTGCCAGCTGTGGAGGTGAAAGCTCTATAAAGGAATGAAATAAAAGCATAAAGACCAAGGCAAAAAATAAACTGTATAAGCAGCTGGTTGTAAGAAGTGATCCAGCCTTTCTAATATGAGCTACAAGTGCCGTCTATGGGGTATATTTAACTTAAAGGCCAATTATCTTGTCATTCCTGCTCTAACCTGGAGTCTGTCTGGAAGTTAATTCTGTTACATGAGGTGGATCAAGGCGTGTGATTCAGTGTGCCATACTTAAAGGATAATTAGAGCTTAGAATCTGCACATGTTGAGTCTTCCATATGGATGTAGGACCTTGGAATCTAGCTGTAATTAGTTTAATTTATTGGTGTTAAAATCCTTATGGAGATAAGGACATAAAGTAATAATTATCTACACATTTTGAAACCAATTGAGAGAGAAATTGAGATTACAGAGTTCTGAAAGAGCTAGAAGTAAAATGATTCCAAAAGCTGAAAACATTACATTATTTAAGGAAATGGGAATTTTTGCCATCAGTTTCTTAGTTCAGTGCCCTTCCTGCTGGGTCCTGCTGCCTTTGCATGTATTTTCTTTATTAGTGTGTACAGTGTGACTGATAAGATTTGTAAATTTTTCTGTTGACTTTAATTTTATAAGTGAGATCGCAAAATTTATTCTATTTAAAAAAAAAAAAGTTTTATTGAAGAAATAGCCAGGAAAGGCAAGACTTTTAATATATATTTTGAAAGCCAGCCAGGTATCAAGTCAGCGAATTTGACAGCCAATTTAAGAGCCCAATAATTCCTCTGAAATGCCAAGAAGGGCACTACCCCAAGAATAGCAAAACCTTTGTCATTTAGTTAATGATTGTTAACTCATAACATGGAAACCCATGGTTTATTGTAGGGAGTCAGGAGGACTGAATTCTGTTCCCAAATCTGCCAGGGACTCAGTCTGGGATCTGAAAATTATTTAGTCTTCAGATTTGGCTTAATAAAGTACTGAAGATATATCTGTGCCTTGAATAAATTAGTCTTTGCTTAACATTTGGGGAAATGGGATCTGCTTGTTGTCATTATTCTTCCCGTGGGGAACAGAGATAATAATACTTATCGCCTCCCCTGGAAAGTTGTGAGTTCTGGCAGTGGAAAATGCTAAGTGAGTGCTGAGCAGTGTTGTTAATAGAGATGGCACAAGAATTTTTAGAACTCCTGAAAAAATTTACAGAAAGAAATGGTGATATTCTTGAAGAGTCTGATAGTATGGCAGTGATTTCCCAGTGTTCTGAATACAGACTTTTTCCTAGGAAGCAGTCCTATTACAGATGGAAGGGTGCAGTTCTCCTCACTGGCCTTGAGGAGGAACATTTGAACAATATTTGCAGACACCATCCTTTTGAGGGCCACTGTGGGACTTTATTTTGGGAAAGTAATAAGCAGCAAATGACGTGTTATGCAAATCACAGTCTCCAAAATATAATTATGCATTTTTTTTAAAAAAGTTCCTCATTATAATTATGTGACTTAAGAGGAAATTCTGTCTTTAACAACAATCAGAATTGGCAAGAAAATTTTGGAAGCTTATTGTATGGATTCATTTTTAGAAATTATGTTTTAAAAACCCTTATTTTTTAATTACTACTGTAACTACTTATAGAATTAAGCCTTTGTTCCAACAATGACTTCACAAAGATGTTCAAAATTGGCAATTTGAAGGGTGCTCTTTTCATATCTTTTTAGCTTACTAACTTGCTTTATTTGACATGTAAATGTTTTAGAGAAGGGAAAAATATTAAGGTTCCACACCTCTGCTCCTGTAATTAAGTGCATGAGGGCACAAATGTGTGGGATCAGCAGGAAGCTCTTAATTAAAAATCAAAATGGCAAAATTTAATATTACAAAAGATGTAAGAAAAGAAGTAAGTTGGAGAGAGGAGGATGCAAATCTTTGGCTTCTTTGTTATTTTTTGTATTTATTTGTTGTCTG